CTGAGTATTTCTGCAATTAAATCTCTGTGAATCTCTGGCAGACCCAAACGGCAGGCTCAGATACAGTGAGATTTAACAATAAGTAACAGTAACAATAAGGGCTCTATTTTCGTGCTTCGCCGGAGACGTGGTGCAGGTGCAGCATAAGTCAGGTCGCCGCGCTGACAAGGCGTTCCCAAGCACAATTTGGTATTTTGGTGAACGGCACAGCCGTTACAATTTTTGTGAAGTAGTCAAAGAGATCAAGAGATGTCTGAAGACAGTAATGCCATACGATGGCGACAGAAGGCAGCTCCTCAACAAGTGTCACTGTAAGCGCTGCATTGGGCGTCCTCCACACTCTCTCATATGAACACAGATGGATTTGGTGTGTGTAATGTTGGACCCACTGGTAAGACAAACACCCTTTTCTACAAATAAAGACACTCACATAAAGTTGCATATATTTAAACCTCACGTGACAAAGGTGGGTTGTGCACAGAGATCACAACATAAATTCCAATAACGGCATTAAAGTTGGAACCATCTATGCGGAAAGGACGCATCACGCTCTGTGGCCTGGCTCTTTCTTTCATAGATGTTGGCATATAAAATAAATTTGACTCACAAAACTGAATATAATAATATTCATATGTAACTTAAAGTAAATAACTCATCTGATCACTGAAACAAATCATCCGTTCTGCTGCTGCAGCAGCAACTGCAGCAGGACGGGGAGAGGACATGGAGACATGTCCAAGTCGAGCTGCACGAGAAATAAGAGGAAGAGGAAGAAAGAAAAGGAAGGAGATGAATTACATATCTTGTTAACTTCATCATGTGTGTCTATTTACTAGATATTTAATTTAATGTGGTTTCAGCTGTGTTGATTTGGTCAGGTTGTGTGTCCAAATGCATGCCAAACGTGCTCATCAGATCAGATATAGATCAGAATGTATCTATAGATCTAAATGTATGTGCTGACTCAGATTAATAGTTGTTGATGATTATTTATTGCATTGAAATGTGCCTGACACTGTGGAAACCTGCCGGTGAGGCTTCAGTGACGTATGCCGATATGCCGCCGATCTACCAAAATACCACTAGACCAGCTGTGCTCCGCCTGCGCTGAAAACTGACCAGGTTTGAATCGGTGAGCCTCCAGCGCACTTTATACACCACCGGCAAGCACGAAAATGTCACTGCACCAGCTGATTCTGTCAACACCTCCCCCTGCCAAGCCACCACGCCCAGCTTAGCGGACCTCGGTTCGCCTCAGTCTACGAAAATACCAAACTGGCTGTACGTCAGGCTCCGCCAGACAAAAATACCACTGCGAGGAGTTCGCCACCCTCCGCCATGTCCCCTGGCGGACACGGAAATAGAGCCCTAAGTAGTGAAAAAAATGATCGGAGTGGGACTTAAAAGAGATATTACGGCATAAAATAAATTAAGGGTCAAACAGACCGTAGCACTGAGTTAGACAACCCCTTTGAAAGATGAATGTTGCTGACAGCTTGCTTCTCTAGTTATACCAACTTAAGAAATTAGTGATCATTACTTTGTCATTTCCATGAAGTAATAATCACCATCTTAATCATTTTGCACTGCAGATGCAATAGTTTTTCTGCCTTAGCATCTCGATCTGATTGCATTTCCATGAAGAAATGATCTAGTGCTGTGGCTGGGACCCTATATATACTGTTGATTAAGTTAGGTGCTGTTCTGAGCATTATTTGTGGCTATAGAGTGGCGTTTTGGTTAAGGTTTGTTTATATCTCCTCAGACCGCTGTGTATAGCTATCATGCAGTCATTACTAAAGTTGTTATAACTAGAGAAGCAAGCAGTCGGCAACATTTATTTCTCAAGGGGGTGTCTAACTTGGTGTTATGGTGTATTTGACCCTAAATTAACTATTATTTTAATTTTATTAAATATCCCTTTAAGTGCCTCATACATGACACAGTGGTGAGACCTGAATAGACATCTCAAGACAAATCTACACAAGGAGTTATTTCAAATATGGAGAGGTTTGAGGATAGAGTCAGTGATGTTTTGATAGACAACATCAGTTTAATCAAGTATGTGGAGTAACAGTTGTGAAATGATTCTTTTCCTGACTTGAAATGAACAGCAGTTGATTAGTTACTACAGCGAAGCTTGACAGCCGTAGATTCTTTTCCAAATGTAATTGATATGGGTTTTGAAAGTGAGCTCAGGGTCCATCCATAGTCTAAGACATTTAAATACATTAACCCTCTTCAGTGGAGTTCCACCACTTAAATTAATGAGCAACTCAGGTGAGCGTGATTAACCACGTTTTGTACCAAACACCATAGAACGTGATTTTTTCACTACTGTAGTACTCATCTCTATTGTACTTTTTTGTTTACCTCTGAAATGATTCCCTGTATATATATTTTTTGCAACGTTGGCTGGAGAGAAACGTTTTTTTCTATTTCTGTGTATGTACTGACTGCAGTAATTGACAATAAAAAGCTTTAAACTTGAATTACCTTTAGACTTTGAGCAAGGATCGTCCAATTACACAAACTCTGTGAAAATTACAGATACAAGCTGGTACAGTTAAGATTGTAATAACCATAATAAAACAGTGACAATTACTGTTAAAATGAACAATTACAATAACTTTCACTCTAATACCCCACTATAACCATTGTATCACTGTGTTGTAATGTAAAGTGCTACCATCTGGTTGGTTCTTTGAAAACAAGACCCTACCCTCCTCTGAATTTAACAAGGCTGATTGGCCTAATGATGACATGGTTTTCTGCATTTCTGCAGAAATCGCAAAAAATGTTGTGTATTTTATGTCACAAATATAAAAAGATACAGTCTGATAAAGCAAAAGTCTGTTTTGGTCTTTTATTTGAGTTTGGAGATGTGTTTTTTCCTGTCATTAAAGAATAATATGATCCTGTTTTCAGGGCACTTGTTGCAAAAGGAACCGACTCTCCATCACCCAGTAACACATCAATGCAAACTGATTGGTCAAAGGATGATCCAATTGATTTCAAAACACAAGGGTGAGATATTCAGACCGATTTTAATGTAAAGAGAAGACATTCAGAAAAACAAATAAAGTAAAATAAATATAATTCTGTGAAACAGGTCATTTGTGCCAGAAAGACCAGACTCCCCATTACCCAGTAATGCATCAATGCAAACTGATCAGTCAAAGGATGATCCAATCGACTTCAAAAGAGATAAACAAGGGTGAGATATTCAGACATATTTTAATTTTAAGGGAGTAAATTATAAATTAAGTAAAATAAATGACTAATTCTGTGTAACAGGTCATTTGTGCCACAAAGACCAGACTCCCCATCACCCAGTAACGTATCAATGCAAACTGATCAGTCAAAGGATGATCCAATCGACTTCAAAAGAGATCAACAAGGGTGAGATATTCAGACATGTTTTAATTTTAAGGGAGTTAATTATTAATTAAGTAAAATGAATGACTAATTCTGTGTAACAGGTCATTTGTGCCACAAAGACCAGACACACCATCACCCAGTAATGCATCAATGCAAACTGATCAGTCAAAGGATGATCCAAATGACCTTAACAGAGATCAACAGGAGTGAGATATTCAGACATGTTTTAATTTTAAAAGACCACATCAATAAATTGAATACACAACATGAGTAAAATAATTGTGTGTAACAGGTTATTTGTGCCACAAAGACCAGACTCCCCATCACTCAGTAGCATATCAATTCAAACTGATTTGTCAAAGGATGATCCAATCGACTTCAAAAGAGATCAACAAGGGTGAGATATTCAGGCCTTTTAATTTTAAGGGAGTAAATTATTAATTAAGTAAAATAAATGACTAATTCTGTGTAACAGGTCATTTGTGCCACAAAGACCAGACTCCCCATCACTCAGTAGCATATCAATTCAAACTGATTTGTCAAAGGATGATCCAATCGACTTCAAAAGAGATCAACAAGGGTGAGATATTCAGGCCTTTTAATTTTAAGGGAGTAAATTATTAATTAAGTAAAATAAATGACTAATTCTGTGTAACAGGTCATTTGTGCCACAAAGACCAGACTCCCCATCACTCAGTAGCATATCAATTCAAACTGATTTGTCAAAGGATGATCCAATCGACTTCAAAAGAGATCAACAAGGGTGAGATATTCAGACCTTTTAATTTTAAGGGAGTAAATTATAATTTAAGTAAAATAAATGACTAATTCTGTGTAACAGGTCATTTGTGCCGAAAAGACCAGACTCCCCATCACCCAGTAACGCATCACTGCAAACTGATCAGTCAAAGGATGATCCAAATGACCTTAACAGAGATCAACAGGAGTGAGATATTCAGACATATTTTAATTTTAAAAGACCACATCAATAAATTGAATACATAACGGGTAAAATAATTGTGCGTAACAGGTCATTTGTGCCACAAAGACCAGACTCCTCATCACCCAGTAATGCATCATGGTCAAAGGATGATCCAATCGACTTCAAAAGAGATAAACAAGGGTGAGATATTCAGACATGTTTTAATTTTAAGGGAGTAAATTATTAATAAGTAAAATAAATGACTAATTCTGTGTAACAGGTCATTTGTGCCAAAAAGACCAGACTCCCCATCACTCAGTAACATATCAATTCAAACTGATTGGTCAAAGGATGATCCAATCGACTTCAAAAGAGATCAACAAGGGTGAGATATTCAGACATGTTTTAATTTTAAGGGAGTAAATTATAAATTAAGTAAAATAAATGACTAATTCTGTGTAACAGGTCATTTGTGCCAAAAAGACCAGACTCCCCATCACCCAGTAACGTATCAATGCAAACTGATTGGTCAAAGGATGATCCAATTGACTTCAAAAGAGATCAACAAGGGTGAGATATTCAGACGTTTTAATTTTAAGGGAGTAAATTATAAATTAAGTAAAATAAATGACTAATTCTGTGTAACAGGTCATTTGTGCCACAAATACCAGACTCCCCACCACCCGGTAATGCATCAATGCAAACTGATTGGTCAAAGGATGATCCAATCGACTTCAAAAGAGATCAACAAGGGTGAGATATTCAGACGTTTTAATTTTAAGGGAGTAAATTATTAATTTAGTAAAATAAATGACTAATTCTGTGTAACAGGTCATTTGTGCCAGAAAGACCAGACTCCCCATCACTCAGTAACGTATCAATTCAAACTGATTGGTCAAAGGATGATCCAATCGACTTCAAAAGAGATCAACAAGGGTGAGATATTCAGACATGTTTTAATTTTAAGGGAGTAAATTATTAATTTAGTAAAATAAATGACTAATTCTGTGTAACAGGTCATTTGTGCCAGAAAGACCAGACTCCCCATCACTCAGTAACGTATCAATTCAAACTGATTGGTCAAAGGATGATCCAATCGACTTCAAAAGAGATCAACAAGGGTGAGATATTCAGACATGTTTTAATTTTAAGGGAGTAAATTATAAATTAAGTAAAATAAATGACTAATTCTGTGTAACAGGTCATTTGTGCCAAAAAGACCAGACTCCCCATCACCCAGTAACGCATCACTGCAAACTGATCAGTCAAAGGATGATCCAAATGACCTTAACAGAGATCAACAAGGGTGAGATATTCAGACATATTTAAATTTTAAAAGACCACATCAATAAATTGAATACATAACGAGTAAAATAATTGTGCGTAACAGGTCATTTGTGCCACAAAGACCAGACTCCTCATCACCCAGTAATGCATCATGGTCAAAGGATGATCCAATCGACTTCAAAAGAGATAAACAAGGGTGAGATATTCAGACATGTTTTAATTTTAAGGGAGTAAATTATAAATTAAGTAAAATAAATGACTAATTCTATGTAACAGGTCATTTGTGCCACAAAGACCAGACTCCCCATCACCCAGTAACGTATCAATGCAAACTGATTGGTCAAAGGATGATCCAATCGACTTCAAAAGAGATCAACAAGGGTGAGATATTCAGACGTTTTAATTTTAAGAGACTACATCAATTAATGGAAAAAATAACATGAGTATAATAATTGTGTGTAACAGGTCATTTGTGCCAAAAAGACCAGACTCCCCATCACCCAGTAACGCATCAATGCAAACTGATCAGTCAAAGGATGATCCAATCGACTTCAAAAGAGATCAACAAGGGTGAGATATTCAGACATATTTTAGTAACGCATCAATGCAAACTGATCAGTCAAAGGATGATCCAATCGACTTCAAAAGAGATCAACAAGGGTGAGATATTCAGACATATTTTAATTTGAACTCATTCAGTGCCAATGATGGATTTGGACAGATTTTTTTAAATTTGCCCTGAGTGACATTTATGGATTTTGACAGATTTTTCATGTTTTACTTGTCCTCAGCAAGAGGGCGCTTATCCTCAACACTTGACAAAGTTGACAAAAGTCCAAGTTACAATAATAAAAACAAGTACTAACCAGTGAGAAATGTACCATTAAGTGTGCCAATTAGCCAATTTTTGGGCTCAAGGAAGAACATTTATGATCATTTTCTCATGGAAACGCAATCAGACCGAGACGCTAAGGCAGAAGAACTCCCACGTCTGCAGTGCAAAATGATCATTTTGATGATTATTCCTTCAAGGAAATGATAAAATAATGATCATAAATAAGAACAGGTAGACATTTCAAAATAAAACAGGAAATGACAAGACAACATGACAGGATGAGGGTAATGCATTTCGGCTTATTCATGTCTTTAAGTAAAAAGCAATATGCAGAAAATAGCAGTAGATTAAAAAATAATAATTGATAATAATTGTTTTTATCGTTATTATATTTCTTTTTGTCTTTGAGATCGGACTCCAGGACTCCAAAAAAGTCACAGGTGGATCCTCCAGACCTCGGAGAAGGACATCATGGTAAGATTTTTCTTTTTTTTTAATTAATTAGTTAATCAAATTAATTAATTAAGTATACCACTTGTTCTTGATCTCATGATGTCCAGCCAAGCAGGATCTAGAGGCTTTCATGATAAACCTTGATACCTTTATGTCTCAGGAAATTATTAGGTAGTTAATGTTTAATGAAATAAGGAGAAAATAGCATGTCATACTTAGTGCTTGAAGTGCAAGGGCTCTATTTTCGCGTCCGCCGGTGAGGCGGCGGAGGGTGGCAGACCCTGTGCAGTGGTATTTCCGTCTGGCAGAGCCCGGCGTACAGCCAGTTTGGTATTTTCGTGGACTGAGGCACACAGAGGTCCGCCAAGCTGGGCGTGGTGGCGAGGCAGGGGGAGGTGTCGACAGAATCAGCTGGCGGATTGAAACCTGGTCAGCTTTCAGTGCAGGCGGAGCGCAGCTGGTCTAGTGGTCTTTTGGTAGACCTGCGGCGTATCAGCATACGTCACCGATGAATCACCGGCAGGTTTCCACAGTGTCAGGCACATATCAGTGCAATTAATAATCAACAACTAATAATCTGAGTCAGCACATACATTTAGATCTATATAGTTATATTCTGATCTATATCTGATCTGATGAGTGCATTTGGCACACGTTTGGACACACAACCTGACCAAAACAACACAGCTGAAACCGCATTAAATTGAATTAAATATCTAGTAAGTAGACACACATGATGAAGTGAACAAGATATGTAATTTGTCTCCCGCCTTTTCTTTCTTCCTCTTCCTCCTATTTCTCGCACAGCTTGACTTGGACATGTCTCTGTGTCCTCTCCCCGTCCTGCTGCAGCTGCGGCTGAACAGATGATTTGTTTCAGTGATCAGATGAGTTATTTACTTTAAGCCTACATACGAATATTATAATATTCAGTTTTGTGAGTCAAATTTATTTTATATGCCAACATCTATGACAGAAAGAGCCAGGCCACGGAGCGCGATGCGTCATTTACGCACAGATGGTTCAGATTTTAATGCCATTATTGGAATTTATGGTGTGATCTGTGCGCACAACCCACCTTTGTCACGTGAGGTTTGAATAAATGCAACTTTATGCGATTGTCTTTATTCGTGTTTGTCTTACCAGTGGGTCCAACATTACACACACCAAATCCATCTGTGCTCATATGAGAGAGTGTGGAGGATGCTCAATGCGGCGCTTACAGTGACACTTGTTGAGGGGCTGCCTTCTGTTGCATCGTGTGGCATTACTGTCTTCAGACATCTCTTGATCTCTTTGACTACTAATCTAAGAAAATTGTTATACGCCTAGCCGGTGGCGGATTTAAAGGCAAGAACAGGAGCTTATGTGATTGGTGAAAACAGGTCTCGGCTTTGTTAAACCCACTCCACGCCCTCTGTCCTCCCTTGCTATGACTTACGCCGCTGGGAGGAGCTGAGTTTGGCAAGGGGGATACTTACGCCGGGCTGCGCTACTCACCAAAATACCAAATTGTGCTTGGGAACGCCTTGTCGGCGCGGCGGACCTCACTTAAGCCACGCATGCGCAGCGTCGCCAGTGAGGCACGGAAATAAAGCCCCAAGTGTTAAGAATGATAAGAATCCTATGGTGTTATGTTGTAGTGTGTGAAGAGAATTGTATTGACCAAGAAAAGACAGAAATGTGATCCAACTGATGAAAGAAAAAGAAGTCATTAGCTTTACCCTTTTATGCTCACATTAACATGTTGAAACAATCCGTGTCAATAAACAATATATGTAAAGAGCAAGCAGCAGCCTTTAGTCTCAAGAAATAAAGCCATAGTGCCGAAAAAGTACCATTCTCTGAGCTCCCACTTGAGACTGGCTGCTAAAGAACTGTAAACCACACACATGCAAAACAGTCCATAAGTACAAATGTTACATAGTTGCTAGTCTGTTTTATCACTGATAACATGCTGATATGTTTTCTCAATGCAGGAACTGTAGACAAATGGAAGAACGTGATACCAAGCCTCAAAAAACGGCTAAAAAAAACCCTTCAGAAAGAAGACCAAAGCCATCCCAACCAGAGAAATACAGAACTTGTCATGAGAAAAGACAAAACACTTAAGACATATACTCCAGTGAGTTCAGTGTCTGACATTTTCAAAGATTCAGAAGGAAAAACAATCAGAACTGTGCTGACTGTTGGGGAGGCTGATATTGGTAAATCCTTCCATGTGCAAAAATTCATAAAAGGGTGGGCCGAAGGGAAGTCATTTTTTACTTGGGCTTTAAATAAAGTGACATCCCGTGGGGGCTCAACTGAGAGTGAAAGAGAAGTAATATTTCCCTTTAATGGAGCTGAGCTTAATTCATTGAAAGGGAAACAGTTCTCTTTTGAGGGACTCCTCCAACATTTCTTCCCGGAAACTAAAGAAATAGTCATCTCTAACTTCAAACAGCTTAAAGTTCTCTTTGTCTTGGATGGACTGGATGCTCTTGAACCTGCTCTTGACTTCAACAATGACGACAACACTGTAAAAGATGTCAGCCAGCTAGCTTCAGTTAATGTGTTACTGACAAGCCTCATCAGAAGACACTTGCTCCCTTCTGCTCAGCTCTGGATAACGTCCCGACCATCAGCGGCCACTCAGCTACCTGATTCCTGTGTGGACAGGAGGACAGAAATCAGATGTGAGTTTATTGATGTAGACTAAAGATGTTAAAAGACAGCTTTATGAATATGGCTGTATTTATACCCACACATTGAGCTGGATAGTCAGTATTAGATAAGGATTAAATGCCCTAAAAAAGAAAACATGCACACTTGAATGTGTCTAGATAGAAGCCTAAGATCAACAGTAAAACTTAAAATCGCCTTTACAATAGCAATGTGCCACCATTGAACATTAAGTATTGAAAGTTGATATCAGATGTATATTTTGTGTAAAATCATGTTTAATAAATGCAATCTAACTTGTTTTTTCTAGACAAAGAAGTCAAACACCGGCTCACAGCAGACCACAAGACGAGGATCCTCAGTCAGCATGAAAGCAGACTGAAAGGACAGAAAACTGACACAGAAGTCTATGAGATAGATGTGTCTAAAAACGAGGAAACAAAGGTCCAAACTTGGGATGCGCTATTCTTAAATTCAAGTAAAAAAGAGATCCGAACAGTGCTGATGAAGGGAGTCCCTCATGTTGGTAAAACACATCAGACAGTGAGTTACATGGTGGACTGGGCTAAGACAAGAACTACCAAAAACATGGACTTTGTATTGCCATTTGATTTTAGTGAACTGAATTCAAAAAGAGATCAAAGCATGAAGGATCTGCTTCAGCAGTCCCTCAATCACACCAATAAATCTGGAGATTGCAATTACAATAAGTGCAAAATCCTTTTTCTCCTTGACGGCCTGGAAAAATGTAAACTTCCTCTGGATTTTGAGAAGAACAAGGACCTGACTGACATAGAGGAGCAAGCCTCGATGGATGTGCTGCTGACAAACCTGATCAAGGGGTGTTTGCTTCCCTCTGCTCTCATCTGGATCATCACTCAACCTTCAGGAGCTGGGAAGATTCCTACTGACTATATCCAGAAAGTCACAGAGTGTCAAGGTAGAATTTAGACACATAAATCATTTTAGTATTCCTGTTCTGTTTCATCTGTGGTATATTTAATTTTGATGAAAAAAACAAGAGATTTCTGCCAAAGCAGCACATGTGCTTGACATACAGACTGCACTGAGCCACAAAGAACAGGAAATTGCTGTTTCAGTTAAACTATCTGAATAGTAAATGATATTTGATTGGTTTTGTTGGTGTCCCAGTCATTTGAACCCCTGTTTAAGTCCCCCATGGACAGACATGTCAAATGGGACGATGGAAAAATGCTGTTTTATAGTTTTTTTTTTATTTCAGCAACACATTTTCAAAAGATTTGACAGGATGTCTCCCATTGTGATAAATTACCTTAACACCCTGTAAATGTGGGAACTGAGAAGACTAGTCTCTAGTTTGAAGTGAATTATTGTCCCATTCTTGCCTCAATGAGGATTTTAGGTGCAGAACATTTAAAGGTATCCTTTGCTAAACCTCATGCTCCTCTACTGCACTGTCACGCTGTAGTTATTTGTTGAATTATAGTTTGGCATTGTCTCATGGAAATCTGCAAAGTCCTCTCTGAAAAATATCATTGTCTGCATGGTAGAATATGATGGTCCATACCCTTTGTATAATGTTAATGCTCTCCAAGATGTGTAAACTCCACATGCCATGGACACTAAAACACCCCGGTACGATCTTGGATGCAGGCTTTACAACTATTTGTTGAAGAAAAGCTGAATGGTCCCACTCCTCTGTAGTTCAGAGGATACTGTGGTCATGATTTCCAAAAGCAAAGGTCATATTTTAATGTGTCAGATCACAGGACACTCCAGTTCCCAGTCCTCTATGCATACAAAGGCAAACATTTAACCTCTATTTGTGGATGCAGCAATTACCTCTGTTCACAGACAATGATTTTTAGAGGTGATTGTGAGACCATGCATTGATGAAGTGTTTCTTGGGAGCCTAAAGATCACTGCCATTGTGTTGTTTCATTGTCCCTGTCCCAACCTCTTCAAAATGTGTTGCTGTTACCCCTATTTAAGGATTAACCTTTGGGATTACTTTTGGTCTTTATTCACAGATAGAGGGCAGTATATCAAACGTGAAACAGGGGAGAGAGTGGAGGATGAACCTGCATGTCATCTCCCCTGGCATTTGTGGGGCATGCTTTTCATGCTAGGCTATTGGCACCCCGCTCTAATCATATATGAGCATATACTTCATTAAAACAACATTTTTCATCAGTTTCAACATATACCTTGTCTTTGCACCTTTTTCAATCAAATTTAATTTGCAAACCATCAATATCTGTATTCATCAACATTTGACATGCCTTCCCTTTTTTCTGGGGTAATTGGATTGTAGTTTTAACACAAGAAATATATTTAATGCACTAGTTATCTGTAGTTTTGGTATTGGTTAACAAGGAGATCATTACTTTGTGATGAAGCATGGTGATACAATTTGCATCCTTTATCAGCACAGAATGATGTTTTTTTTTCTCCCAGAGACCTTGGAGCGGCGGAAAAAGCTGATATCAAAGCTCAAAGAAAGATTCAAGGAAAACATACGAAATGCAGACCTAACTCATTCCAACCAGGAAAACACAGAGCACGTCATGAGGAAAGAGAAAAGAAGTGAAAACACTGATGAAGAGGATGGCAAACGGGAAATATCATTGACTCAAGTGACTGCAATTTCTGATCTCTTCAAAGGTGAAGGCAAACAAAAAGTCAGAAATGTCCTGACTACAGGTGTGGCAGGGATCGGAAAATCTTTCCACTCAGAGCAATATATTAAAGAGTGGGCTAATCCAGAGTCACGTTATGATAGGATGAAAAATTATTTTAAGTCTTTCTGGGGAGCAGCTAAAGATGATACTGTTATATTTCCTGTTGACCTCACAAAACTTAGAATGATAAGAGAGAAAAAAGTCAGTCTGTTGGGACTCCTCCAACATTTCTTCCCGGAAACTAAAGAAATAGTCATCTCTAACTTCAAGCAGCTTAAAGTTCTCTTTGTCCTGGATGGACTGGATGCTCTTGAACCTGCTCTTGACTTCAACAGTAACGACAACACTGTAAAAGATGTCAGCCAGCTAGCTTCAGTTAATGTGTTACTGACAAGACTCATCAGAGGAGACCTGCTCCCTTCAGCTCAGCTCTGGATAACGTCCCGACCATCAGCGGCCACTCAGCTACCTGATTCCTGTGTGGACAGGAGGACAGAAATCAGAGGTGAGTTTATTGATGTAGACTAAGGCTGTTAAAGACGTTACATTTTAAATGAGCATATCCTAATTCATCCAGTAGTCATTCATTTTGTTGCTGACTGTCAGAAGTTCTGCAGGGAAAGCACATGGAAGTTAACTTGAAAACTAATAAATACAACGTAAATCCGAAATTAAAAGCTGCTATAGAAGCAGACCAGCAGGATGAGGGCGATAAATCAAATAATGATATTTAATTAAAGTGATTTGTTTAGTCTCTTCTTACAATGGCTTACCAAAAAAGAGCTAGTACTTAAAAACAAACTGCAAACACAACAACCAAATTCATGATGCTGTAGTTTGTATTTTCCTTAATTACACCATAAACTGTTACTGACTTGCTTCCTCACTTTAAAACACGTCTCTTTTTTGCAACAGACAAGCCTGATCTTGTAAGTCAACGGGAGCTCAAATCTCAGCTAAAGGAGCAATTTACCCGTGTGACTATGGGGGTGGCCACGCAGAAAACCTCTGCTCTGCTGAATGACATCTACACAGACCTCTACATCACAGAGGGTGAAAGAGGAGAGGTGGAAACTGAGAGTGAGACCAAACAGATAGAAGGTGCAAAGTTCAAACCACAAACATCCATTAAGTATCACACCATCTTTGAACCTACGGAAGGGAAAAATATACCCATTAGGTCTGTGCTTACAACAGGACTGGCAGGCATCGGAAAGTCATTTGCCACAATGAAATACATGCTTGACTGGGCTGAGGACAAATCCCACAAAGACATTTTTTTCATGTTTCCACTCTCTTTCCGGGAGCTGAATTTGAAGAAAGAAGAAACACACAGTTTGGAGGAACTTATTCACAGTTTCTTTCCAGGAATGAAGACATCTGAAATAAAAGACTACGACAAGTACAAGATCCTGATTGTCCTGGATGGTTTCGATGAATGTCGCCTTGATCTTATCTTCACTGAAGATGACAGTTGCACTGATGTGAGGGAGCAAACCCCAGTGAAGGTTCTGCTGGCAAACCTTATTCAAGGCAATCTGCTCTCCAAAGCTCAAATCTGGATCACCTCCAGACCTGCAGCATCCAACAGTATCCCTACCGATAAAGTTGACCGGGTCACAGAGGTGCGAGGATTCAATGATGAACAGAAAGAGGAGTACTTCAGAAGAAGATTTGATGATAAGGATTTGGCTGAGAAAATCTTAACACATGTCAAAGCCTCAAGGACTTTGTATATCATGTGTTACATCCCCATCTTCAGTTGGCTCACATCAACTGTCCTGGAGGACTTTGTGGTAAGAAAAGAAGAAGGTAAGATGCCCAGCACTTTGACAGACATGTACATACACTTTCTTTTGTTACAATGCCGGCTGGCAAATGATAAGTACTACAAGGATGGGATGAGTGAGGAGAGTAAAACAGACTCATGCTGGAACCCAAGAAACAAGACTACAGTGTTTTCTCTGGGAAAGTTGGCCTTTGAAGGGCTGAAGTCTGGAGACCTTGTCTTCACTGAAGCCACCTTGGACAGCTGTGGCATTGACATCACAACATCTGCAGTGTTTTCAGGTGTTTTCACTCAGATTAAACGAGATGGCATTGGGGTGGAGGAACAGAAACTGTTCTGCTTTGTCCATCTGAGCATTCAGGAGTTCCTGGCATCTTTTCATGTGTTTCACACCTTCAATAACAGTGGTGAGAATCTGCTAACTGAACCCCCTTCAACAGTCCCGGACTTGACAGCATCAGCCTTTTACAAAACAGCTGTGGACAAGGCTTTAGATAGCAAAAATGGAGACTGGGATTTGTTCCTCCGCTTCCTGCTTGGACTGTCTCTGGAGAAAAATCAGAATCTGCTGCAAGAGCTGCTGAAGAAGACAGAAAATAATGAAGAGACGAATAAGGAAACAATCGAATACATCAAAGAAAAAGTCAGAGAAGAGAAGAGTGATGCTGATCAAAACTTCAATCTTTTCCACTGTCTGAATGAGCTGAATGACAAGTCCCTTGTGGATGAAGTGAAGAAGCGTCTGCGCTCAGAAACAGTCACATTTGAAAACTTCTCCACATCCCAGTGGTCAGCTCTGACCTTTGTGCTGCTGACTTCAGATGAAAACCTTGACGAGTTTGATCTGAAAAAGTACTGGAAATCAGAGAAAGTACTCCTGGGAATGTTGCCAGTGGTCAAAGTTGCCAAGACTGCTCTGTGAGTACCATGAAAATCTCTCATAAAGATCCTTATGTGACTGTGTTACCTTGATATAAACTTCATATGAAGTAAATGTACCAGAGGCTGTTTCACTGTGTACACAGGAGCCAAGGGACTGAGTAGGTTTCTCCACATTCCTGTTTCTACCTGCACAAAATCTGGCTCTTAATATTAGCACTCAGCCTTGTTCTTTTCTGTTTACTTTGGCAAAATGCAAACCAGGAAAATCCAAACTAAAGTTATAAAAATGACGTAAACCGCTGGACAGCACCACATTCAGTGGGTAGTCATCAGAAGTGCTGTAACAAATAAATAATCTTTGCCATCCTACCACATGTCCTAAACCAAAGTATGGTTTTCTGATTGCAATATCTTCACAGGCTGAGTTGGTGTGAGCTCACTGCTGAATCCTGCAACGGCCTCAAATCTTCAATCCTCACCACTGCATCCTGTAACCTCACCGAGCTGGACCTGAGTCATAATGACCTGCTAGACTCAGGGGTGGAACCCCTGGCTGAAGGCCTAAAAAATTTGCACTGTAAACTGAAGATTCTCAAGTAAGTGTGCTTTACATTTACTTCACACGGACAGGACCAAGAGCTTCTAAGTGTACTTATTTAAAAAGACCACACTTTGGTAAAGTAGAATAAATGAAGGGGAGCACAGTAACCATCACAGAAAAAAAAAAGAATTATTGAATAATGTTCCTCTGTGCTTACTGTGCAGTTAACTCTTGGAAGCACATCTCACAAGGTTTAGGAAGTGCTAAGGTATGGGAATAATAATCAAAAATACATGCACAAGTTATTTTGGAGAACTGTGGTTTAGTTTACTGAAATTAAAGCAAGTTATCAACATTAAAATTTAAAATTTTGTTCTTTACACTACAAGAACTTTATTTGTTCCTACAGGAGAATTCACTTGTCTGGAATCTCAGATAAACTACATTTAAACAGTTATAAACTGACTTGCCCAGTGGTGGTAAGGCAGTGGCTGTAGAGGCTTCTTTGACGTTGGCATACAGCAGGTCCAGGCTTTTGCTTTCTCTGGTAGGACAGTTAACAAACTGTGAAAATTCAGTCAGGTGAGAGGAGAGGGTGACATGGTTGAAGTCTTCTGATATTATTATTAGTGCCTCAGGGTGTTGAGTCTGTATCCTAGCAACAGTATCATGGAGAACATCACACAGAACTTCAGCCGTTGCCTTTGGGAAGATGTATACAAGTATTGTTACAATATGACTGAACTTCCTTGGAACATTACATAGCCAAAGAGCAACTGCCAACAATTTAATAGCTGGACAACACATTTTCTCTTTAACAGTTATGTGTGAAGGGTTACATCATCTTTGGTTGAAAAACCTCCTCCTTTCTTCTTGCCACTAGCTTCAGCATCTCTGTCTGATCTTATGAGAGTGAAGCCAGGTAGATCCACACTGGAGTCCTAGTTGTTTTGATTCAACCAGGTAAACCAGTAAAACACAAGAGACAGCACTCACAGTATGCGTTCTTAGCCTTCACCTATATCTCCAGCTCATCAAGTTTCCAATGATGATTGATGGAAGAAAGGGTTTATACCTTCACCTTCTATCATTCAATTTTGCCTTTATCTTTACACCAGCACAGAAACCATGAAAACAGCTCTGGATGTCTGCTGGAATTGGATTTTGTCCAGATTTGCACTGTCCCAATGAAAAGAGCTCTTCTCTTAAACAAACTTTTCTCCCAGCAGAAATATCCATCAGTAGTTGACAAAATATGATAAAGATATTTTAAAGAGAGAGAAATTTTTCAAAAAAGATTATTTTTTTTCAAATATGTAGAAACATTTTTAAGTTACTTTAAAGTCACTTTCTCTAAAGAATTCAGTCATGGCAAAATAATTTCCTCAGGAAAATAAAGAAATCATCTGCAAAACCTTTTATTTAGTCCTCATGATGCTGTTTTGAAGGAGGATGCCTCACATCTCAGCTCTATTCACAGTCTTCCTCCTGTCCTGATACTTGTAACAGTATGGTGCTGAGATGCAAAAATTATGAAGCACAGATTTCTTGTTTTGGTGCAGGAAGGTGGATGCTCACCATGAAGAAAAACTAAGACTTGGACACAACTTTATTCTTGTAATTTTATGACTCTTTCACAACTTTGTTTTTCCAACGTCAAATTATGAGCATACATTTTTTGCCAACAAAGCTGATTGAGATTCTAAATCTGAACGATATGACTTTAAACTTAAGGTATCATTACAACTTGTAAAATGTAGGGTTGAAATTATGTATGTTTTCATCAACATTTCACGCAGCCAAACTTTTCTAGAATTTCAGATGTTTCCATGTTTTTTATTTGCAGGTTGTCAGGCTGTCAGGTGACCGAGAAAGGCTGCTCACTCTTGGCCTCAGCACTCAAGTTTAACACAGCCTCCAACCTGGAAGAGTTAGATCTAAGTTACAACTACCCAGGAACTAACGGGGAGAGAGAGCTCTTTGCTATAGTTGAGGATTCAAATAACAGCTTGAAGACACTCTGGTGGGTAAAGCTATCATGATATGTAGAAGTATTCCGGTCTATTTTCAACAACTCCATTGTTGTATAATCAGAACTGAACTCGTGCCTATAGTCTAATGTGAAAACAACCAAAATCTCATCTGTTAAATGTTTAGGGATATTTCAGCATAAGTTTAAGCCATGGTCAAACACATCATAACACAGAGTTAGACCCCACCTCGTAAGATGAATGTTGCCGACCACTTGCTTCTCTAGCTCCTCCAACTTCAGTCAAGACCGCATGATAGCAATACGCAGCAGTGTATGTCTCCACGCGCAAACCGCAACCAAAATAGCCACTCGTAGCCACAAAAAATGGCCAGAGCAGCACCTAACTTCATCAAGAGTAAATATAGGGTCCCAGCCATGGTATTAGCCATCAAACATCTTTTCAGCTTTGCCTGGTTTCTTCAGCAAAGAGACCACACACAACTCACCCACTCTCTTCCAGCAGCCGCCTTATTGTGGAGGAGCCCTGACAAGTTGATCACCGAGTGCAGCGGAGTTTCGCAGCTCAAGGGGGAACATGTTGTGTTTAGTCTCTTTGCCCGAGGTGTGCATGTGGAGACATACACCGCTGTGTATTGCTATCGTGCAGTCTTGGCTTAAGTTGGTGGAACTACAAAAGCAAGCGGTTGGCAAAATTGATCTCTAACTTGGTATTATATATATATTTTTGGTTTTTTTTACCCTGGCTTAAACTAATGCCAGAATATCCCTTTAAAGCCAGCAGCATCTCTATAAACTAATTTACTCTTTGCGGTGACATACTATTTTATCTGCATCTGAATATTACACTGAACAAAAATATAGGTGCAACACTTTTGTTTTTGCTCCCATTTTTTATGAGCTGAACTCAAAGATCTTGGACTTTTTCTATGTCCACAAAAGACCTACTTCTCTCAAATATTGTTGACAAATTTGTCTAAATCTTTGTGGAGAACACTACTCCTTTTCCTTCACAGGTGTGGCATATCAAGATGCTGATTAGACAGCATGATTATTGCAACAGGTGTGCCTTAGACACCTGTGGGGGGGGGGGGGGGTTATAAAACGAGTCAGTATCTGGTGTGACCACCATTTGCCTCACACAGTGCAACACGTGTCCTTCACATAGAGTTGGTCAGGTTGTTGATCGTGGCCTGTGGAGTGTTGGTCCACTCTTCTTCAATGGCTGTGTGAAGTTGCTGGATATTGGCAGGAACTGGAACATGGTGTGGTATGCTGATTCAGAGCATCCCAAACATGCTCAATGGGTGACATGTCCAGTGAGTATGCTGGCCATACAAGAACTGGGATGTTTTCACCTTAAGGAATTTAGGACAGATCCTTGCAACATGGGGCCGTGCATTATCATGCTGCAACATAAGGTGATGTCACGGCTGAATGGCACAACAATGGGCCTCAGAGTCTTATCACAGTATCTCTGTGCGTTCAAAATGCCATCAATAAAATGCAACTGTGTTCGTTGTTCATAACATATGCCTGCCCATACCATCACCCCACCTCCACCTTGGGCCACTTAATTCACAACATTGACATCAGTAAACTGCTCACCCACTCAATTCCAAACAAGCTGTCTGCCATCTGCCCTGTACAGTGAAAACCGAGATTCATCTGCGAAGAGAACACCGCTCCAAAGTGCCAGAAGGCATTGAATGTGAGTATTTGCCCACTTAAGTCGGTTATGACGACACACTGCTGTCAGGTCAAGACCCTGATGAGGACGATGGACATGTAGATGAGCTTCCCTGAGACGTTTTTTGACAGTTTGTACGAAAATTGTTTAGTTATGCCAATTGTTGCAGCAGCTGTCTGGGTGGCTGCTCTCAGACGATCTTGGAGATGAAGATGCTGGATGTGGAGGTCCTGGGCTGATGTGGTTACACGTGGTCTGCGGTTGTGAGGCGGGTAGGATGTACTGCCAAATTCTCTGAAACGCCTTTGGAGGTGGCTTATGGTGGAGAAATGAACATTCAACTCACGGGCAACAGCTCTGGTGGACATTCCTGCAGTCAGCATGCAAATCACACGCTCCCTCGAAACTTGTGACATCTTGGCCTTTTATTGCGGCCAGTCTACAGCAAATGTGTGCAATACTCATGCTGTCTAATCAGCATCTTGATATGCCACACCTGTGAGGTGGATGGATTATCTCAGCAAAGGAGAAGTGTTCACTAACAAAGATTTAGACAAATTTGTCAAAAATATTTAAGAGAAAAGGGTCTTTTGTGGACAGAGTAAAAGTCTTTGAGTTCAGCTCATGAAAAATGGGTGCAAAAACAAAAGTGTTGCATTTATATTTTGTTCACTGTATGTGCAATTTATGTCAATGCACTGCACATATTTAAAATAACCTCCAGGACCTTACCTGTGTGTCCCTCATGTACAGTTTGGAGCACTGTGGCAAGCATCGTCTAAAGCCAGGGATAAAGAAATGTAAGTCCTTCTTCTGGAAGTGTCTGTAATAATTAATCACATTGGTATAAAAGACTTGATGACAAAGATTTATTATGGTCTAGACTTTTGTTCAATACTAGAAATCAGTATTTATAGACTTTAAACTAGACCTAAAACCCAAAAAATGTTCACCAGTGTATAATTCTCCTTCAGATGATGGGGCTCTGAAGCTTGATGAGAACACGGCAAGCAGGAGGCTTATTCTGACTGACGAAAACAGGAAAGTGAAAACTGTAAAGAACGTGGAGGAGAAGGTTAAACGACCAGAAAATGAAGACCGGTTCAAGAGGTCTCAGGTGTCCTGTGAGCAGGGCCAGGCAGGTCTCTGTTACTGGGAGGTGGAGTGGAAAGGGACTGTGGGCATTGCGGTGACATACAAAGGAGTGGGAAGGAAATGGGACAGTAAGAGTGGTCTGGGATGCAATGACCAGTCCTGGAGTCTGCTCTGCTCGAAGGACGGATACACTGCCATACATGGAAAGACATCCAAACATATAAAAGAGCCATTTTCCCAAAAAATAGCTGTGTTTTTGGATTGGGAAGCTGGCACTCTTTCTTATTACTGTGACAAATCAGGAGAGCTGAGCCTCATTCACACTTTCAAAGCAGAGTTCACAGAATCTGTCTACCCAGGCTTCTGGTTCAAGAGGGGCTCCGTAACTCTCTGTGAGATAGATGACACGCCTCTTAGATGGAGTGAAATCAAGGCTGAAAACCCTGAAAAAAAAGCAGAGAAGGAAAGAAAAGTGAGATTCAGAGTGAAGAAATCTGCAGTTCCTCAAGCAGCATCACAACTCAAAAGTGAGTCAGTCCTTTCTCAGCCCCAAGATCTCACTGCATCTTCTGCCCCCTTTTGCTAGCATGTATCATTGTATTACCATTAGCTGAAAAGTGAGAACAATGGCAAATCAGGATAAATGAAACTATTATTAAAGCAGGCAGCTTTGTTGGAGTTGTGACCTATAGTGAACTTCACGAAATGTTTGAAAATGTCTTGCACACGCTGATTAGGAAAGAGAAGAGCAGAACTGTAAAATAGCATGTTGTGGTTGTGGCATGTTCTGGGTGCCATGGTGTGAAATCTCACCTTCTTTTGAGTGATGAGTGCTGTATTTGAAACTGGGTCTTTCATATGTTTTCATATGTAAGTCATAAGATCTGATGCATGGTACATATATCTAGTATTGTTTTTTGTTTCTGCTAACATTGCATCATCACCTACACTCATGCATGCAGGCATCACACCACTGATCTACTGATTTCCACACCACATTGTTTATTGTTTATAAGGATCTCCATTAGCTTTTGTCAAGACAAAGCCAGTTTTCCTGGGGTCCAACACAGAAATTAAAACATTACATAAACATTCATCCGTGATTATACAGTCACTTATTTACCGAACAGTTAAATAAAAAAAGGGTGTTACAAGGAATTAACAGAAGGAATCAATTTGAAATAAGACAGGATCATATACAATACATTAGTGGCCTGGCCACCCCCTCCCATCCATAGAGACTCCGTATCAATGACGCGTCACACAGCGAGCACTGAAAATCACCTTAGACCATACACACCCTGCACACCACCTGTTCACACTTATGCCCTCTGGGAGGCGTTACACGTCTTTGACAGCCAACTCAGCCAGATTCAAGAATAGTTTTTTCCCCACTGCCATATGGACACCAAACAAATACCTGAAATAACTTGTATCCACAACTGTAACCTTGTATTGTTGCATTGTTTTTTTGATTTCTGCATGTATATATCCGACATAGGAGATGTGAGCATGATGTGCTGTACTGGAAAACAAATTCCACCAACTCTGTTGTGTGACCATTAATAAATGATTCTGATTCTAAAAAGCACCTCTTGATGGCAGCAGTAAGAGATGGGAGACACAACAGTGAAATCTATTGGCAGCAGTCGCCATATTGGTAATTCTGACTCAACCTTACTTTTGTGTAACCTACCAGAGGCCTTTAGATGCCTCGCAAATAGCTACTGTGTGCACAGTCAATTCAGTAACCTCAATATCTTTGACACCAATGCTACCAGATGAGCCACAACATGCTACTAAGGATGACTGTGGATTTTTTTCTCCTGTTGCAAAATGAATTGAGTGTGCAAAAAACAAACAAACAAACAAAAACAAACAAACAAAAAAACAGCTGGAACCTGCTACAGAGTTTTTGTTTTTGGATGATTTTGTTTAACTTATTGAGAATTAAAGATGTCTGATCAATACTTGGCAAAATAGATGGCATATCAAATGTATATAGCATGATCACAACTTCTCATTCTTGAAATGAAACAACATTAAAAGGCCATACTTGACACTTCTACTTACTCACAAGTATTAGTAAATTAATTTAGGGTTTTTTTTTTTTTTTTTTTACACAAGTTTAGTCATCAATACAGCAAAAGATAGAAAAAGGGTTGACTTCCTTTGTGACAGCTGAAATTAATGAGATGACAAAGAGGGTTATTCATCAGACAAACTGCAATATTTAGTAAAGCTTTTCTGCCACCGTGTTGCTTGAATTTTCCAGATTTGGATGGTGTTTCTTTATTCACCTTTTGTGTGTCTATCAGCAGAAAGAGCAGAAAGGCTGCTCTCGTCCCTGCTCTGATTTCCTTCCTCTCTCCTATGTCCTCTGAGCTGCATTCAAAGCTGGAGCTCTATGTGACGTGGTGTTAAGTAAGTATCAGGCTGAGGACAGAGGAGACTGCAGATTCAAGCCAGCCTTCTCTCAATGTGCTTCCTGAAAACCTTAAAAGAGAGCTTGCTTTAATAAACCACCAGCTTTCTGATTACAAACTTTCTAGTGATAATCTCTGCATGTTTCTACGACATCCAGGGGCTTTTTCTTTACCTCAGAGAAAATAGATATATTTTACAGGTCTTATGTTAAACGAAAAGCACATTTTGTTATGCCATCCATTTTGGCGAATCATCTCTATTCCTGTGGTTAGCAGCCAGGCTAAACTCATAGGCTATCTTGATGAGGGCAACTCATCCAATCATCCAAACAGTGCTATTAGTCTCAATATAGACACCAATTTCCAGCTGAAAAGACCAAATTTACAAACATGGAAAACCACTTTAGACAGCCAAGTGCAGTTCCATATTATATTTTAGCATAAATTTTAGAGATATTAATCAATAGAGATATTAATATTTTTCTTTTGCTCAAATGTAATGTTCACACTTTTGTGGAGAGATTGTAGCTTCAATTATTTGCAGTGGTAGGAAGTGGAGACACATGATCCATATGCTCCTTCAATTTTTCTTTCCTTCAATCTTTTTTTTAAGTGTCAGGCAGCTGCCAGACACTATTTTTTTTCCTGTCTTCTTTCAAATACAAATACAATACAAAACCAATAAAACAGATTCAGGCTTCCTCAGAATAATTTTGGAAATACTTTAAGGCCTCCCACAGCTGGCTGGTCAATTTCCAAATTAAACAAAATGTCAAATATCCAGAATCAAAACTCCCAAATGTCCTGTCTTATGAGTTACTTCGGTTGGACACTTTGGTTACTGTTATACTAACCCCAAATTACATTACTGAAGTAGAAACCACACACACACACACACACACACACACACACACACACACACACACACACACACACACACACACACACACACACTTTTAAATGTTTGTCTTTGGCAGCCAAACCGTATGTGCACACTGGCATGTATGTGCAAGGCTTTGTGCATGTGTGTGAGCATCTGAATGTGGGCTGTAATGAATTACACCCATGAAAAACAGGCTTGAATGAAGCTTAAGAGGGGAAAGAATAAAGGGAGGGGAAAATGTTCTCTGAAAGGAAACACTCAGGACAATGTAGCAACCAGCAGATGTAAAGAGCCTTTGCAAAAACCTAATTCTTGACCAACTCTTTGAAGAGGCTGAAAAACTCTCAGTTGAGCATTTAGTTCCGGCTCCACATCAGAGGCCCTTAGAAACAACAGAGCAGTTTGACACATTCAGGACCTTTCCTATTTCAGCTTCTCTCTTCTGTACCGTTGATCTGCTGCTGCTTATTGACAACACATTGAGGGTTCCTCATGTGCTTCCTGCCCCTGGATTGAGACACATTACTTTATAAACTTTACTGATGGATGCAGTTTACGTTATGTTCTTTCTGCATCACCTGTCCCATGACATAAAACTCCAAAGTCAATAAAAACCAAACGTCTTCTGTACTGTTGTCTCATTTGTTTTTGCGTTGTTGGGACAGTCTTGGTTGGTTGTACACTCTTGCACTGCCCTCTTGTGGCCAAGCTTGCAATGGCTTTCATTTTCCGGCCACTCTGTCAGCCTGCAAGCAGCCACCACACAGTGCACATCATTGGCAGTTGGTTTGCAGTTTTCAGCCTTGGGGTATCTTAGTCCATAAGTTTTTAAGTTAATGTGTCTTTCTTTAAATATGAGTGTTTATAAAACATAAGCCAGCATTTTGAGCTACATTTGAATGTGAATGCTATGCTAGGTATATACATGTGACTGTTTGGCTAGGCTAATCGTCTCCATTTGAGTTCTCATATTTTTTTTTTATTTTGCATCTTTTTAGTTTTGATGTACACCTTGCTGATACACCGTTTTATTTGTGTATTACAGTTTTACAGTTTTTACAAGAAATTACTGCCTGCAAGCCAAGTAAAGATCTAAGAAACTACATGGCCACGGAGTGTTTCTTTGGTTGTTCGCTATCTGTCTAGCCTTGGCAGACGTCACGCCATCGTGAGGACAGAATATCTTCTATCTCATGGATTGTTTGGCACCATTGAATGACAGTTTGAGGAATAACCTGCATATTTTCACAGGTGGGCTAGAGTTTGGCAGGGTCTGCATATTGTCACATGCCACTTACTGGCTGTATCCTAGGTGTGCCTGAAGCACAACATATGCAACATTTAAGTGCACATGCATGTTTTGCACAAAAGATCTATAAGAAACAGACGTGACAGCCACAAGGTCATCCTATTGATTTCTCCTTTGGGGCCCAATAAAGTTCTTCTTCTCTTATTGTAATCAATTTTAGTGTTATAAAAGTGAATTACAGTATATCAACAACTTGGACTGATAAATAGACCCTGGCCAGAATCAGAAGACACCAAAGTCGTAAGGAGCCAATGTGTTGAGCAGCAATAATGAGTCAGGCACTAGAATAACTGTTGAGTAGCCACTCTTGTATTTTCACAGTGAATGAGAAGAAATTTTCAGCTTGTACAAAAAATACATAAACAACCCAAATTACCAGAAATAAAAGAATATAGTGTGCACACTTCAAGGTGGGGTAGGCAGGATCTGAGGAAGCGCCAGTTTTCAGAAGAAAACTTTAATGTAAACGCTACCTCTCCCAACCAGTTTTCTCCTCAGCTCCTCCTCTCCCCTCCCTCTCTGCTCCAGAGGGACGCACCATTCCAATGCTCTCACTTTTAAGTCGATTTTCACCTGTTTAGCAGGAACTAAATGTGGTCGCTGCAGCGATGATATCAGTGAGGGGATCCAGGGTTTGTGCAGCGGGTTTCACATCCCTGTGCTGGCTTGCTAGGTCCTTGCTCAGATTTGAGGGGGAATTTTTTGCTGTAGATAATAGTTTTCTTCCAACACAGAGTGAACAGTCATGAGTCAACACTCATGTCTTTCTCATCTTTTACTGAGGAAAAACTTATGTAATGTCAGTACTTCAGAGCACTAAACATTGCACTGTCCTGCTCTCTCCTGCACTCCATGTTGTCTCTTGTTGATCATTACTACAGGTGTCTGTTGTTTACCACAATTGTTGTTCCACACTTCATTGTCACGACTCACCAGACGGTCTCACTTAACGAAATCAAGGTTTAGTA